CGTCGTGTCCTGCTCCGGCAGAACGAGGTAAAGGTCAGTTCAAAGAGCTGCCGTCGTGTGAGGGGCGGCTCAGGGCTGAAATTAAAAACCTCATTTCCATCTCTGCCCTAGATGCGTGCTCGCGGTGTGCCCAGTTCTAGATTTAGGGGTTGTTTGGGCGACTGAGCTGCCGTTTAGGTCTGGAGTGGGTTTAAGGCTTAGAAAAAGTCTCCTTCCCCACCTGTTGCTGTGTTAGTTGGGTGCTCGTCTGTCCGCTGATAATTTTGGGCATGGAAGTTTCTTTTGTGACTTACTCCTTTGCTTCAGCGCCTGCGTGCCGTGGCCGTTCGCCGGCAGAGCCGGTGTGGTACGCAGCTGGAGGGGTGCGAGTGGACTTTTCCTCTGCTCCCTGCTGCTCTGCCGTCCCCTCCGAGGGGGGCTCCGACAAGCTGCTCTTGCTGCAGAGATGCTTTTAGCCGTGTTTGCCATTTGTGTCACCCCAGAAGGTCGGAACTTGCTCTCCCTTCACGCCCAGCTCCCCGCACACAGGTGAAGTTTGAGTTCCCCTGTTCCTGCCCCTGGGCATTAGCAGTGGTGTGAGCAGTCGTGTTGGAACAGAGCGGGTTTGTCGGATGGTGAGCCTGCTGGCGGCCCCGAGCAGGGAGCGTGGGGTGGCCTCGGGCCATCCACAGCGACCTGGGCCATGCAGTGTCCCCGCAGCGTGGAGCGTGGTGCTGCCCGTCCATGTGCTCGGCGCTGGTTGCTGGTGCTTCTGGAGTCTGGCTGGGATCCGTGTCGCGGCTGCGATGTATGGAACTCGGCTGAAGCCCTGATTGACTGGATTTCCTGGGTGTGCCCGCGCTTCTGTGATATAGATGCTGATAAATCTGCAATACGCTGGAGATCTTGATAAGATGTACTGTGTATTTCATCTGCTGTTGCCTCATTCTTCTGTACTTGCAGATATCTAATCCCTTGCTCTTTATCTTATAAGGCATGACACTACAAATTTTGTTCTTTATTCTCCAAACATCCCCACGCTTGCTGGCACTAGAAATTGCAGTAACTTGCTCTGCACGTGCTGCTTAAAACATGAACACTGGTGGCTGGGTCAGCTCGGGAGCTCGAGGTTTCCCGTTAAGGGGGCCAGTTTAGCAGCAGTGCCTCCAGTACAGCGTGGACTCGCTGTGGAAAGCATCTCGCTTCTGTCGGACAGAGACCTGCAAGCTGTCTCTTTTAGTTCCTCCCTGTGCCAAACCTGACCACGAAAACTGAAGGAGAGTTTTGCTGTAAACACGAGCAGAGCCAGGATTTCCCCCACGTAGAGCTGTTGTTAAAAGCTCTCCCTAATTATTTAAGCTCCAAGTTAATAGTTGTTTGCTGATGTGTGCTGGCCTGCAGGCTCCGCTCGCTGTCCCCATGCTGAGCATCAAGGGATGGCTTCGTCCCGGTGTAATGGTGCTCGCACCAGTGAGTGTGACTGGGTCATACAAGGATTTGTCGGAGAGCTAGCAGAGGGTCCTCTTAGAGATGCTCACTTTGAAGGAAAAGGTGGCTTTTCACTGAAAAAATATTTTTATAGAAGTAAGTCTTCTCTCGAGTTCTTGATGATTTTTCTGTTGTTTAGTGTTCCAGGATATTTTTGAGAGTCCTTTTCATGTTTCACCGGAGGACTCCCATTTTCTGACCGGCTTGGCCTAACTCTTAGTAAACCTCACCTGACCCTAAGCATTTACTGAGCTCATTTGCTGGGGAGGTAATTGCTGGTGGCCAAGAAGGTGCGAAACAGTCCAGGATGTGTCCAGACGGCTTCCGCTTGTGTTAACCGAAATGGCTCTTATAAGTGGGGGGCTGATTCCCAGTGCTGCTCACAGAAAGTCGGGCAGATTTAGATTAGATATTGGGAAGAAATTCTTCCCCATGAGGGTGGTGAAACACTGGCCCAGGTTGCCCAGAGAAGCTGTGGCTGCCCCCTCCCTGGCAGTGCTCAAGGCCAGGTTGGATGGAGCTCTGAGCACTCTGGTCTGGTGGAAGATGTCCCTGCTCATGGCAGGGGGGTTGGAACCAGATGATCTTTAAGGTCCCTTCCAACCCAAAGCATTCTATGATTCTAAGCCTTTCGGAAGCGTAACTCCATTTTTTCCTCTGAAATTCTGAGAAGGAAGTTAAATTTGTAGTACGAGAAAACTGAGTCTTTGCTTTCACCCAGCTGACCCATGAGGCTGCTTGTTTGTCTGTGCAAGCTGGCAGTTAGTCTGGTTCCTGGATTCATTTTGTTGACCTTTAGGAAGAGAAGGAATAGATTCTAACTCAACAAATGTCCGCTTGCAGGCAGTCGTGAATCGCAGATTGCTTTTCCTAAGAGCGTGCAGATAGGCTTTGCATTTAGAATAAGATTTTGTTTTAACTGCAGCACACTCTACTGAAGTTTGTTACGTATCCAAATTACACTGCTTTGCTTTTTAACTGCAGCTGAAACCGTGTTTCGAATAACAGATGTGGAATGCTGTCATCCCACTGTCACACCGATTGCTCATTGTTCTGAGAAGGTCACATCATAATTCATTAACAATAATTATACCCTGGGTACACCCTGCACTTCTTCACTCAATTGCTTCATTAACTTGTGAGTGAATCTCACATTCACTGCTCCAATCAATGAAGATATATTTATAATGTACAAGTGGATGCTATTAGTTACAATATATTAACTACCTAATTTAAAATAGAAAAGCTATCTTTATGAAGGGCAATTAACCACTAAGTGTAATTGATAATTCACATACCTATGATTAGGAAAGACAAATAATAAGAAAGAAATGAATCACCTGCATTATTGAAGAAGACACTGGCGTGCGGTTTTAACGAGTGGAAGGGGCTGTCTGGATCAGGACGGGATTTCTAAGAATCCTTTGGTGGAAAGTTCGTTGTCAGATGCGTTACCTCGAGGTGGTTTCAGTGTTTACACCAACTAATTGGGATCATCTTCCCTGGAAAAGGAACCCACCACGTTTTGTTGTCTTGAGAATCAATGCAGGGACTTTCCTAATAGAAAAGTCCTTTTTCATCCGAACACAAAGAAATGTAATAGTATTTTAATATTAATTCATAAACCGAGACCCAAACTTACCCAGGTATCTAAACCTATATTAGCTTAGGTCCTCCTATGTACAAACTCACACTAAAACTGACAAAAATTAGGCATTTTAATATATTTGAGGAGCTGAGTGACAGTCCTTTTGGTACATGTTTTTTTTAAAAAATAAAATTATGGTATATTTTTCAGTGCTTCTAATTTTCGTGGCCACTTTGGAATACCTTGGTTCTCCAAATAGCTGACAGCTCATCCTTGGGGAAGAGGCCTTTACGTGACACCCACAGTAGGTCATCACAGCTGGGTTGGGAAACAAAGCTGCTCAGAGGCAGAGGACTTGCACGAGATTGCAGAGTACTGATCCACAGGAGCCATGCCCTTGGCTCTGGGCTCTTGGGGCCAGGTTTTCTTCCCTTGAGAAGCAGGTAAATACCTGTGAGCATTTATTAATGAATCAGTTGAAGTACCATCATTTTCAGGTTTACCCTCCAAGTAACAGCACAGGTGTTTTATGAGAGATTAAGGGATAGATGTAACTGAAGCCACCCCAGTGTTGATATAAATATCATTGCAACTAGCTGGCCTCTTACCCGGAGGCTGGAGAAGCGCGAAGCCTTGCTGTTGCTTCCAGCAGATCTCTGCAGCAGGTGAGCAGTAAGTGGGAAGGTGAAAATCCACGTTAAAACACGAATAGCCAGTGGTGTCACACCAGGTACTGTACTCATGGCTGTGCAGTGCCTTCAGCTCCTGTGAGATATCCACGGACCAGTTTAAAGAAAAGGGATGGGATTTGAGGGTTTTTGGTGTGTGGAGGGAGCGTGTGCCTGACCGGCTGTGGTATCCTGGGGATGGTGGGCATCGCCCGTGCCGCCGTGTTCAGCTGAGCTCTCTGCTCCGGAAGGGCAGTTACCTGCTGTGGCAAGGGCCCTGTGCGTGAAAACTGCGGCCATAGTGCCCAGAATCAGTCTGTTTTAGGCGTGTCTTGGTCACAGGAAGGGATCCTGCTCCTGTGCTGGTATTTCCTCTTTGCATTTTTGTTGTAATATCAAGCTAAGCTTGGGACAGCGAAGCTGGCACTCTTAGCTCCTTTTCTATGTCCAGTTAACCCCTCTGCTGCTTTTGCTCCACAGGATCAAAGCATCTGGTCTGAAGCTGCGGTTCTGCACTAACGAAACCCAAGCGACCCGGGAGAAGTTTGTGAAGAAGCTCCAGGGCATGGGCTTTGACATCTCCGTGGCCGAAGTCCCTGCCCCAGCGCCCGCAGCCTGCCGCATTTTGAAGGAGCGCAGCCTGAGGCCGCATTTGCTCGTGCACAACGGTGGGACAACGCTGCGGCGGATGCTGGGACGCGCAGGGGGACAGCCCAGAGAGAAGTGGGAGTTTGTGTTGGCGCAGTGAATTCCTGTAGCTAGTGGGAGGAAGAGTTCCCAGCTGTTATCTTCCTACAGGGAAAGCGTTTTCCTTAGTCATGAGACTCTGGAATAAACCTTGGTGGTGTGGCCTGAGTGAGGTCTCGGTTATGGCAGTGATATGGTGAAGGCACAGAGATGTGCTGGGGGTCAGCAAGTGCACAGAGGAATCTGCTGCTTAACCACAGAGACTAGGAGAGGGGTGAGGTCTTGTGCAGGGTCTGACATTGTCATCATGGCAGAGATTTGAAGTTTGAAGTGTTTTCTTCTATAGGGTGTGGGTACGGAGAAAGGAGGTGGATCCTGCCCTTGCTATTACAGATTTTCATTCAGCTATCCAGGGGTTTGTCTTGGGTCTTGTGCCTGGATATAACGAGCTGAGATATAACTGAGACAGGAGTGGCAGAAGCTAAGGCAAGGGTCAGAAATCGTTGATTTTGCTCTTTGTTGTAGGACAGCTAAATAGCAGGATCCAGTCAGGAATAGAAGGGTCTGAAGAACACTTGATTGAGACTTGCATTTTTTTTCTTTTTAATGTGTTGTGTGATGAATGAAGGGAAACACAAATCTGGGAGAAAACAGTCAGTTCCAATGGAATCTGAAATGGTAAGGGATTTGTGGATTTTTTTTTTTTTTCCTCTCCTTCTGTAGATCTTGTCCCTGAATTCGCTGAGATTGATAAAGCAAACCCAAACTGTGTGGTTATCGGAGATGCAGCGGAAAACTTCACCTATGCAAACCTTAACGAAGCTTTCCGAGTTCTGATTGGGATGGAGAAGCCTGTTTTGATCTCCCTTGGAAGAGGGTGAGTCAAGCACTGTTTCTTCCTCAAGTCTTTACATTTTTTTTGGTTTCCCTCAGTGTCTTTGTACTTAACGGAGGCCAGATATTGGTGTGGGCATTCACACTACCAACTGTTAAGCAGTTAATCTATGTCTGTACGGGGAGGCTGATCTGCTCTGGTTTCTGTTAATGAAGGATCCTTAATGGGTAATTCAGTCACCAAACTTTGCCTCCTGTCCCGAGTCACTTGTAGTCTTCCCAGGCGTGTAAGAAAAACTGAGGTGATGACACTGAAGTAGGCCTCTGAAAGGAGGTGGTATGGGTGCTCCCCATGACCACAGTTCAGCCCTGTGCTTATGCAGGATTGCAAAGGGCGCTGGAAGTCACTGAGCTCGCCATGCTGAATCCTCCAGTTGGCTTTGAAAATACTCATCGGACGTATCTTGAATTTCAGCTGTCGGTGGTCTTTTTACTGTAGGGAGGGCAGAGTAAGCTGTTGTGTGGAAGTGTTTCATCGACTGCTAGAGGGTGAGAGATGTAGCTGCTCTGCTGAGGAGGAACTGTAGCACCCTTTAGAGAACCCGGAGATGCTCTGGTGTAAGCACGACAAATGCCAGCCTCCAACCCTTCAAAGTCGGTGTTCAAGAGTGAGCTAGACCTTGCTGAAACAATCCAAATGTTTGCAGGTGGCGGCGGGAGGGTTAAATAGCTGTAGTTTCGTAAGCTACTGGAAAAGGGCTTTTGTTGCTTTAAGAGCAAGTCTAAGAGCCTCTTAAAAACCCTATAGACATCATGGAGAGTGAAGATTTTGATGTGTGCAACATCCAAGTGAACGAGTATTGCAAGAGGCCGGTAGGGTTATAGGCGCTGCTTGTCTTTTTGTCTTTGCTCCTGCAAGGTCTCAGAGTTGAGAACTGTTGGTTTGACTGCTGCCTGTGGCCATGTGTACCTGTCTGAACTGAAAATAGATGACTTTTAATAGTGAAAGAAACCCCAAACAAACAAAAAAATCTAACAGGCCGTGCTTGGATAAAGGGCTGTTGGTGTAGATTTGTGATGCAGTTTGATCTTCCAGCATGCTAAAGTTGCTAATGGTGAGGAGGATCAGGTGGTCTGAAAGTTCTCAGTTTCAGCCAACAGTCAGCCAGGTTTCTTCTTCCAGATTCGAATCCTGCTCATATTTGTAGTGAATGAGAAGTGATGCTGGATGTGGCTGATGGCCTCTGGTGTAAATGTCTCCTGGCTATTTGAATAGTACTTAAAGATGCCATCTCTGAAAGTTGGCGTTGACACCTCTGCAGCTTGATTCATGCGTATGAAAATGTCATATGTAAAGAAACACTTTCGTGCTGGTGTCTTGGCAATATGTATATATGTATTCCTCTATACCTGAGGAAAAAGAAGCCAGGAGAGTTTTTGTTTGCTAATATAGAAACCCTACCAATTTATGAAAGTAGCTGCAATGCACAAACTCCAGCTGAGCTCTGTTGGAGATGAGGGTAGATGTTCCTCTGGCTGTGAGCGACGTGTGGTGGCGAAGAAGACCTAAGGGGAGAGCCAAAGGATATACTGAGAAATGGCTGGGCTGGTGTGTATGGCAAAGACCTGCAAATGTGCCTGTGCTTTTGAAGAGAAAGATCAATTGTTTTGATAGATTGAATATCGAAAGACATTTTTAATTATTCTCTGAACACTAAAGGTAAATTTTGACCTTCTGCTTTCACATGCAGGAAAATTCCAGTCAAGGAATTTGAATGTTTTCCTAAAAACAATTCAGTTAGATGTATTCTGAGATTTTAAACAAGAGATTATTAATGCCAGCCCTGAATAATGACAAATCCCAGCAGCCTTGAAGGAGTTACTCTTATCTGCTGTGCGATTTATGGCCTTAAAAAACACTATGCGTGTTTATCTTGAGGAAACTGTAGTGACAACTTTTTTCAGTGGTTCAATAGACCGTAATGGGCATTAAAACCCCTCTTAGGTTGTGGGTTATTGATCCATCCAGGTAGAACTTATCAGCGGGAAGGAGCAGTTAAATCCATTGTGTTGCCATACCTGACACTCACACGCTCGGATCCTACGAGATGGGTGAAAAATCCTTACTGTTTGTTTCTTAGTTAGAAGGATAAAGAGAAAACGTTGAGGCAACAACACAGTGGCTAATGTAAGTAAGGTAACCAAGTTTTGTGTTAACGTAATACCATCGTTCAAAACGGAATCTAGAGTGAACCTTTGAAGATTTGCAACGTAAGCAATGCAGAAAATCCTTATACCCTGTCGTGCAAATGAAAGTATGTATTTTTCAGTCATTCGTCGTTGTTGTTGTAGACAGCTCTAACACAGACCTGTGGTTATTTTTTGAAAGGTTATTTTTCATTTTAAAATACCCTTTTTTTATATTCTGAGCTCAGTGTTCACCATGAGCATGTATTTTTTAAATTTTTTTTTTTTTAAGAATTGATTATTTAGACACTGTGAATGTGAGTTTTGCAGGAATTGCTCAATGAGTTTCCCTGGTAGGTAATTTCTTGGACCCAAAGAAGGGAGATTATAAATTGGATGAGTTGTTCACCTAACTAGAGAAACCTCGTTGATCCAGAGGGACATACACAAAAGCCAGCCACAAGCCAGCTGCATTTTTAATGTGCACAATGAGTGTAATTGGGTGGACCTTAACAAGAAGATGCCTACCTTGGACAAGTGGGTTGCTTTTGGTTGAAGTTTTAGTTCATTCCATAGAAAACAAAAGTGTCAGAGTCACTGAAGCAGAATGCCCTCCTCCTGAAAATGGAGTGATTTACATTTAGCATCTGTTTTGGGCTGAGAGTGGGAATTGGCTTTGTAATTTCTTCTGTCATGCCACTGTCAGAAAATTAAGCTGTTTACGCTAGACTATAGAAGGTTAATGGCTGTTCTGGCAAAGGTCAAGTGGTCATTTTAAAGGGAAGCTGTGCTGAATAATCGAAAATGGCAGAAAGATATGAGTGCTCATCCTATGTTTTTTTCCTGTCATACAGAAACCTGTCTTTGCTCTGACCAGAAGAGCTTGGAAGACCTGCGTTAATCTGAATTGCTATTCCAGAAAAACACTGTAAAGATACCAACTAATTTTTTGAGCTCCATGGCAATAGGAACGCTTTTAGAAGGAACAAAATGTCGCTTAGAGGGCTTTCTTAGTTCTGATAAACAGTGCCCTGGCTTTCCTCGTGTGGCAGGCTGGTGACAAGCAATGACAGCCAACTGTCTGGGGTCCCATTCGAGATACACTGAAGAAGGTGCTACAGCTGCTGGCTGGTGCCAGCCCTCATCTTGTATCTGCCAAGGGGTCTCCGTTGCTGGTTAAAGGAAGAGCAATGTACCTGCTGTCCTTTGCAAGCAGCTAGTACTCTGTGCAATAAAACACAGGCCAGGTTCATCCTTGATAGAAGCTAGCTGAAAGCCCTCTGAAACAGTGGAGCTGTGTCCCAGATGCCAGATGGGCATCTGGTCTGAGATCTTTTCCCCAAGCATTGCACAGTGCTGAGCCTGTCCTTTACTTAATTCCTGGTGTTAAATTAAGGCTCCAGGGTTTCTGATGACTTGTCTTTTTGTTGCAGCCATATGGACATCTGTGTAGGTACAGAAATAATAAAATGTGGTTTCTTTGTATTTAACTGCCAACGTTTTCATTTCATTGGAACTTTATCACTTTCATTTCCAGACGCTACTATAAAGAAACTGATGGTCTGAAACTTGATGTTGGAGCATATATGAAGGCATTAGAGGTATTTTATAGCTTGCATTATGCTTGCTCGCTCTGTGCACCTTGTTAAAAGGGTAGCTGGTATAAATATGGGTCATCTTCTGTAATTACTCACCTTGGTGGAGGAAGTTTCCACAGATTGGAACTCATTTTCTGCATTCTAAAGACGGGTGGATTCATTTATTTTCTGCCTTTGTTCATTTTTTTAAAATTTTATTTAAAATGTGAGCTTTTACCATTGTGGTACCTTTATTGGAAGTGAGGCCCTTGAAAGAGTCGGAAAAGAAAAACATGCAATATTGTCTGCAAGATACCCGAGAAAAAACTAAAAGTCCGTTTTGTGTTTGGCCTAGCGTTGTTAACACAGCCCTTGCCCTTTACAATTTACAGCAAAAGGCCCTGGTTCAGCAAGGTGCTTAAATGGAATCCTGTTTTTAAGCCTGATTATGTCCATGCAGAACTGGAACCCAATAGATAAGCCAACCTAAGGGTGGGAGAAGGAGATGATCATTATTTTCCTTTTTATAGGCTTGCAGAGAGATTAAAAAAAATTACGTAGTAGAAGCAGAGAATAAAGCAAAGTAGGGGAGTAGGAGTGCAGAAGATAGTGGATATAATGTATACTTGTAGCACATTCATTCATATCTATGTGAGTTTTGGGGAGATTTTTTGCACCTCGGATAAGTTCAGGCTTCTTGTTCTCTAGGAACAAGCTAGAAACACCTTTTTCAGCATAGTACCAGTATTTAGTTGCAGGTAAATAAAACTTTTCGAATCTGGCTGATCACTTGAATCATTAAAAATATGCCAGGTCACTGAAGAAATCCTCCACGCCTTTTAAGGCCCTCCAGTACTTTTGATCATTTCATATGAAGGGGATTTGCTATTTCTTTGAGTGATGCTCTTACACAAATGAGCGATAGTGGAACTGAGTCTGAAGACTGCTCTCATGATGGAGAGTGTGAAAGGTTCATGACTTGAGATGTTTCAGGAGGGCTTTCTCTCCTGCCAGAGAACATTAAACACTTCTGTTATCCAAATTCTCTGATACTCACCTTCACCCGCTAATCCATTTTAAGGATTATTATTTAAGGGCAAAAATCAATAATCACATACTTTTTATACAATTGACTGGTGTTATGGAGTTGAACAAATCCTTTTCTGACCAGCATTTTTTGTGTCTCTTCTCTTTTTCCAGTACGCTTGTGATGTTGAAGCTGAGGTAGTGGGAAAACCAGCAAAAATGTTTTTTGAGTCAGCCTTAGCAGAAATGGGAGTTCCGCCACAACAGGTAAGGTTTCTGATGCCATGACTACTGGCTGTGCCGTGTAGTTATGCCAACTGATGCATATTTTTTTTTTGTTTGCTGTCTTTCATGGAAAGTTACAGAAGAGGTTGAAAGGAACGTGGCAAGGACAACACAGTAAACTCTGGGTGGAAATGCACATATTTTTTTCCAGACCCAGTGTGCAGAGAAACATTTGTGTTCAGGATCTTCCTATGAATTATTTGGGGAAAAAAAAAAAAGAAAAAAATATTGGAAAAAAATGTTTCAGAGGGGAAAAACTCCCGTGTTTGCCCATTCTGTCAAATAATGCAAAGTAGACAAAAGAGGGCTGACAGCCAAGAGGGCAAATGCTGGCAAGTTGGGGATCTGTTGAATTTCTTCTGCCCTATGCATACTTGTTACCCTGCTGAAAGGCATGACATTATTTCTTCTGCTTTTTTGAAGGTTCATTTTGAGTGCCTGCTATTTTCCTTTTCATTTCTGTCTCTCTCTTCTCCGACTGTGCCATCCATACCTATATCCAGTTTAGAGTCTTCCATCCATCCCTCCATTCTCCACTGCAGTTTCTTCTTCTGCTTGTGCTGTTATGTTGTGCTTTCTTATCCACCTTCCTCCCAAACCATATAGTTCAAAAAACCATGCACTTCTGTTGTGAAATTCCTTTATTTGGAGGCTAAAGAAAGCAGCGTGAAATAATAAATGTTAGTTTTCCCAAGGAATTATGGAAGATCTTGTGCTTCACAAGATGAGAGGTTCCCCAATGCCTGGCAATCCGCTTCGTGACTGGAGGCTGCAGTCTGGTGGAACTGCAGCCAGAATGTTATTTATTTCCTTTGGTGTCACGTTGACTACCTTTTTTTAGTAAAAAGGAAAGGCAGAAATAAAATATTTTCTAATTTAGATGAGCAGGAAGCAGGAAGCACTGACTGACCCCAATACTCCTCCTGTGCTACTGGATTCATCACGCTTTCCAGAAACACTGGAAGTGTGATGCTCCCCGCTTACTTAGTATAACCCATTTTTTCCCTTCTCTGTCGTTGTGCCCAGATCCTTCTTATTGATTTGTTGTTATGTCACACAGGACATAAGGATGAGTATGAGATGACTCACAGACAGCAGTGAATTACAGCGTAATAATTCCATCGGAGGTTTTGGTGACATTATAAACAACAGGAGCGACGTTTGGGTGGCTTGTAGGTCCCTAGAGCCTGGAGATGAAATTATGGCCCTGTAATTCAGTACGTGCTTGGATTTTACTTTATTATAGAGTGGGGAGATGGAAAAGACCTGGTAGGCTATCTAATCCATCTCCTTCCCTGCGCAGGAGTGTTCCCTGCTTCACGTTTATTAATGTCTTGTCCAGAGTAGTTTTCAGTGAGCTGAACAACTGGGCTTCTGGAAGTACCCCAGGGGCAGTGTCCACAGCCACGTAGGTCTCGTGGACAGGCCGCTTTTTCTGAGATTCATCAGGATGCTTCCCTTTTAAACTGCATCTCCTTATTTCTAGTTTTAGTCCAGGTAACAAAATAACTGCTTGCCTTCCTGAATATTTTCTTACTCCAATTACCTGCAGATTTGTTATCGTTACAGTAGTTGTCTCTTACTAACACTGTTTAGCTCTCAGCAGTTTCCCTTGTGATTCGGTCCCTCTGCACCCAGACCCACTGCGGTGGTGTTTTCTGTACTGCCTGCAGTTTGTCGGTGTCTTCCCAGTAACAAGATAGCTCAGCCTGCACATAATATCCCAGGTACAGTCACTGCAATTGTTCAATCCATTCGTCCAACCAACAAACCCAAAAGTCAATTTGAGACACAGAATGGCATTGAAAGAAAAGTAGCTGGAAAAGAGAACAAAGAGAAAGAAACAACCCACAGCTCAGCCCTTTGTCTAAATTAGATACGGGAGGGTTTGTGTTTCCTTTCCCCTTGTATCAGAAATACAGGAGTGGGAGGGGAGAGGGTTTTTTTCATGTTTTTTACCCTTGTGGCCCTGCATAGTGGCACTGCTTGCCCGTTTCCACAGGCAGGTGGTGCGGGTGTCCTCAGACGCTGTTTTGTCCAGCTCGCAGTATGCTGAGACCCTGTCAGCCTCTGGCACTAAGGGCAGGTATCCTTACAGGGAAGCGACAGGACACCTGAACTCCTGTCTCAAAAACTTTGCTTCAGGGAACAAAGCTTGATACAATGCATCACCAAGCTGGCAAAAACGGTCCTGTAGGATGAGCCTCAGCAAGTGGTTCCTGTAGCAGAGACTACTATTTTTTCACTCTCTGCTATTTGCCAGACATTCATAGTGCTACTAGTGTCTAACTTTATATTCAAAATACACAGATTTTTCTCATGTATAGCTTCTAGTGTTAAATGCTATTGATTTCTTGTAGTCATATGTCTATAGGTGTAATTTTTTGTATTCAGAGAGATTTGAGATGAAGGGAGTATGTGCCTAACCAAGGAGGAGCGCAGCAGGCACCACTGCATAATAGCACCAGTCGCTCCGCTTTGACTATGGAAATAATAGTCCATGCTGCTGGAGTTAAAACCTGGGTTGTGATGCACATGTGTAGGAGGAACAAAGCACAGCAGAGCAAACTACCTTAATTCTGACATATTTTCCTAACTTTTGTGTGCTTGAACCTTGCAACTTTAATGTTCTTTTGCGAAGGAGTTGTAAGTTGTTTTAGCTTGCCATATGTAATAGTAAAAACTCAATATATGCAGTTCAATGACTTCCTCAGTAACTCAGTGTATTACGTTTTAATCTGTCTCCTGAATGAGCTATACTTCTCTGCATTTGTAATGACGTGACAAGGACTGGTTTTACTTGCCTTTATTTTTTTAAAATGCTTGCCAATAATTTAGTCCACCTGTGGAATGCGTTTAATCCATACCATCGTTAAACCATTTTAGATGAGCTGTGCTTTTGAAAACATATTACAATTTTCTTTTGCCTGATTTTTAATGAAAAATACCTTTTTAATAAAGCTGTCTGGTCACAGTAATTCTAGACAGTGGCAAATCTTAAATTTCTCGAGCTGCTTTAATCAATAAAGTTATCACCAGTCATTTCCCTTGATAACTGCTTCTTACTGCGACCCTGACTTTGCCTTCTGCTGCCGAGATGTTTTCAACCTGCACTTAGAATAGGAGGAACTCCCCAAAGTCCAATTTTCATTTTAACCTTTCCTCAGTGGCCTAGAAATAACAGATTGCCGGTATTGCTTTAATAGATTGGAAATTTAAACCTCTTAGAGGTAACCAGACCTATCTTATGATTCAGTAATATGACAAAGAATAACACATCTTAAAGGTTACTGAAATGCCTAATTCATATGTTTTAAGGCAGCTGTAACAGTGGGTGATTTTTACAGCTTTACAATAAAACCTAAATAATGTTAAGGTTCCAGTAGTTTCATATAATCATAAAAAGTTCTCTCTGTAGCAAATTGTCCTGCTTTAATGGGAGTTATGGCAGGTCACACCGGAGTGCATAAACTACTGGTAGTTAACCAATTCCCATTTCTGCCACCTGCAAGTCTCAGGCGGGAGTTAGTGGCGCGTGAGAGCAGAGGGAGGTCACCCAGAGAGGGGCACGGAGGACCTGCCGCTGTGCCGGCGTCCCCTCGCGCACCCGCCGCAGCAGGAAAGATTTTCCATCTCGGAAAGAAGAGTGAGGCGCCCGAGTGAAGTTTCAAGCTTTGAGCCCTGCTGAAAGCTTATGGAAACCTGGCTGGCCCTCCCCCCTTTGGAAATCTGCCCTGGGGGTTGAGTGTATTTCTTGGTGTCACCTGGCTTGTTGTGCAGTTTCTCCTAGGTCAGAGGCCACATGTGATGATGCCCTTTGCGTGTTTGATGTTTGCACAGCTAGTGGTTCCAAGATAGAATTAACAGTGATATGGGATCCCAGAGCCTCAAAGATTACCGGTTGGGCCGAGGAGAATAGAGGGAAAAGTAAATTCATTGCATTGCTTGTGTAGAGGGGTTAATATATTAATCAAGATTTTGTGTATAAGCTTTGTTTCCTTATGTCCCTGACACATTTAGCTAGAGTAAGGTTATTAAGCTTACAGCAAAAATCTGTTTAGGCATGAATATGTTTGGCTGCGACCAGCTCTGGAGCCCCCAGCACAAGAAGGACGTGGAGCTGTTAGCGCAGGTCCAGAGGAGGCCACAAAGATGATCCGAGGGCTGGAGCACCTCTCCTGTGAGGAAGGGCTGAGAGAGCTGGGGCTGTTCAGCCTGGAGAAGAGAGGGCTGGGGCAAGCCCTTACAGCAGCCTGCCAGTACCTGAAGGGGCTACAGAAAAGATGGGGAAAACGTCCTGTCACAACAAGCCCTGCAGAAAACAAGGGGTAATGACTTTAAGCTAAGGCAGAGCTGGGTTAGACTGGATATAAGGAAGCAGTTTTTTACGATGAGGGTGGTGAAACCCTGGCCCACGTTGTCCAGGGAGGTGGTCGATGCCCCATCCCTGGGAACTTTCCAGGCCAGGCTGGACAGGGCTCTGAGCAGCCTGGTCCAGTTGAAGATGGTGCGCACTGCAGGGGGGTGGGGCTGGATGGCCATTAAAGGTCCCTTCCAACCCAAAGCATTCTGTCATTCTATGACTGTAGAGCGTTCACTGGGTTAAATACTCTGTTGAAGTTTGCACACTTCCTTCCGTGCATCTCTTCATTTGCATCCTCCCTCCATAGACTTCAGCCTTACTCTGTTGAAGTTTGCACACTTCCTTCTGTGCTTCTCTTCATTTGCATCCTCCCTCCGTAGACTTCAGCTTCCAAAGTACCATAGGAGCTCGTCTTAGTAAACACTGCGTTGCCACACGAGCGTGGCTGGGTAGTACAGAATATTGTTGTCTTTCTGCCTCATTCATTTTCTTAATCCGTAGTTCCTTTTCTGATCAAACGTTTTTTGTGATTTCAGTGAATCCTAAAACTCTGTTTGCAGACAAGAAATACCTAAGGTTCCCATTCACCACCCCACCACCGCGTCTGAAGGCTTATTGGTGTTGGCTACTTCTGTGGGTAAGAGGAGTCAGTCACCACCTCTGTCCAGGGTCTGTGGCCCAGATGCCACCGGTCAGATTGCTGTCTGTGATGGTGATCCCTGTGCCACAGATGTTTGTCCAGTGGGGGTTTTATTGTGCCTTCCCACCCCCAGATTCCTGGAGGTTATGTTCATCTCCCCTGTCTGAGTTGAGTGTGATGGGGGCTCTTCGTGAGCTGTAGCTGCACTCAGCTTCGGCACACGTGTGCTTTTTTTACTGCGTGTGTACAACCACACACACCGTCTCTCACCAGCCGTCTGGTTTAGGAAAATAGAAATTGCACCCATCCTAATTCTTTGACAGTTTGTCTTGAAACCAGAGAGACCGTCTCATGGCATTTTTGCTCTTCTCTTTAGTAAATTTTTAGCCAATCTAAAAAAAAACAACTTCCGCAGAATAAGTGAACAGATTAATGGTGTGATCCCTGTGTAAAATATGAACGTGAACGGGGATCTTTTAATTCTTGCTTGCAGTGGATATGTGACCTTTCAGTTTTATATCTTTCTCTCTCTGCTTACCATATTGCAGTCAGAGAGGAAGTTAAACCCAGGTTTGACAGGTAGAGTTTTTTTATTTCCCTTGACAGTGCACCTTTTGACCTCTATCTTCTTGCCAATGATTTTTTAAATCCTAAATGATTTGGGAATAATTGCTCCTCCTTTAGTGATTATTGCCCTTCACCGATAGTAAATCTGTGAAATCCCCGGGGGCTGGAGTACATTTTTGTATGCGTATGCCACAAGCTGGCCTGGACAGGCATCGCTGCTCATCTGCAGCCGCACTTGCAGAACTGCCAGGCGTCTTGCAGGAAAACTTGCCTGGACGGCGTAAAATACAACCCTGGCAAGAAAGCGAGGGCTTGGTGGGCTGCCCCGCTCTGCCCTTTCCCATTTTCAGAGGAAATTCATTTTTAGGGTTTTGAGAACCTGGAACTGAAATTGTCTTTACTTCGGAAATCTCATCCTGAACGTCTGGGTTCAGGCTGAGCAAGGGTCTGCGGGTGGTGGAAGGCAGGTCCCCTCCTGGGATCCCCCCTGCAGCCATTTCCTGTCCCCCTCGGGGAGGTGTTGGAAGGAATTTTATAAGAAGAGAGGGTTATAAGCTGTTAAAACCAGTGGCTGAGAATGATGAAATATCTCAAAGCAGCTTGGGGGGAAATCGGTAATGGTGCAGTGTTGCCAGGTTCTTTGCAGGTTTTCATGCAACAGTGGGATTATTCTGTTTTCCTCATCTGTTTGTAAATGCTGTATTTATTAATTACTTAAAATTAACCCGTCATTTTCTCCCCATTTCATGCTGGATTGCCTGTTTGGAGGAGTGGTGAGGAAAGGTGAACTATCTGCAGGGGAAGGCGTCCTATTAGGAACACATGTTTCGATGAGCGGAGTGGATAAGGCAAATGGTCCAGTAATGAAAGGGTGAAAAAGACCGAGCCCTCCATCGTCTGGTGGCTCCGAAGCGGTTTGCGAGCAGAGGGCTGGAAAGGCCGAGCTCCCTCTCCCAAAGCCTGCTGCTGCTCCTTCCCCATGGGCATGTTCCCCCCCAGCTCTGACACCTTTTGCCACAAGTCCTTATGTCTCTCTGCTCCTTAAAGGAGCTCTCAAAGCCTGGCCACAGCGGTGACTCTTCTAGGCAGAACGTAGCAAGGGTGGGCATATATAAACTGTTTCCAAATAAGCTATTTTGGCGTGGTACCAGGCACATGAGCCTTGACTTGAGAGGGCATCCTACTACGCGCCATCACCCGAGGGATGGTGATCATCCCTCGTGTGAACAGTATGAAAGGAACACGGGAGATGCGCTGGGCTGGTAACTGCTTTATATAATCTTGCGCACCGCAGCTGATGCATTACTCAAAAGAGGATTTAGTTTTTATCAGCTGAAGCTGCTCCAGATACACTTGTTCATAGCTCAGTTTGGTTCTGAGTGCTCTCAGAAAATCTTCTGTTCAGCTGGGGCTTTAGGTATATCCTGAGATTTCCTTTATGTGCTATGTAAGAAGTGGGAGGAGATTCTCTTGTAATTAGGTGATTAATAAACGTAACTCTGGAGCTTTAGTATTTTTAGACTTCTTCAATATGTATGATTTAGTCCTCCCCAGCAGGCTGCATACGGAGTGGGAGCTGACGAGTGGGTGACGCAGAAGATGAACTGGCTCTTGTGTGGTTGCATGCTCTGTAAAAGAGAGGTGCTGCCATGTCAAGGCAGAGGAAGAAGAGGGTTTGGTATTAGGCAGCACTGGTAACTGGAATGGCGCCTGCAAGACAGACTTTCTGTGTTTTTATGTCCTTAAAGCTGCAGCCAGCTGTACGAAACCACTCAGCATTCCCTTTAGATTGCTGTTTCTGGAGAAGCCAATTCCTGCTTCTGCCGCGTGCGCCTCATTCCCGTGACCTCTCTGACGAGGGCCGATTTATCAGTTCTCTGCAGACGGAGAAATGCGGGGTTGGCTCTCTGTGCGTGCCCAGCGCGGTCCCCTCGGTGCTGCTCTCGGTAAGCCAGCCGCCACCGAAGGCAGTCCCGCTCCCCGTGCAGAACTGCCTTTTAACCTCCCACAGCCCTGCGTGGGACAAGGACCCGTTGCAAGAGACCTTAGAAAAAGCTCAAACCGCACAGAATACAACGGCAGTTTCTTTGGCGAGAAAAGAAACGCTTTGCATGGTGACTGCAGGTATCTGACGTGCAGGTATGAAAATAATCAAAAGTACGTGGAAGGAGTGGCAATTCGGGCAGGAATTTCTAGAGAGTAGCGAGGTGCCGTCGTTGTGAAAGCCTGGCAGTTACATCCATGCAGCAGGAGGCTGATTCAACAAGATGAGGAACAAGTGGTTAAAGGTACGACCAGTTAATGTATTTTAGATAAAATTCAACTTTGATACAGAAGGTGCAAAATCATGCTTTAAAATTGGATAGATAAACTAGGTTACGTATTTTCAAAGCTGGTGTGTTTCCCCAGGTTTAGGTGCTGCCTCTGTTTTTTTCAGAGTAATCCAAAATGCTTTGGGAAGGTTGAAAGCTTTTTTTTTTCCTTTGCTTATTAATTTAAGATTACTATTTCTTGTGTGTATGCTGGGTTTTGTTAAAACTATAAAATGAACCCGCTCAACCGTCTTTAAATTTGAGGAACAAAATAAATGTAATAATTTTTAATGCAGGATGATAATAAGCACTTGAAATTCTGTAGGTGTGGTTGTCAATGAATAAGACCCCTTGGTTGGTACGCTTCAATTTAAGAAAGATCTTTAAGTTTGGAAGGTGTCACGCATGCTGCATGTTTTCATCAGACACTCACACGATTCTTAGCAGAACTAGAAGGTCTCTTCCCAGTTACATATTTTGGTAATCTGCTCAGTTGAGTTTATTAGTATTTGCATAGGCTTAAGATGACTGTAACACAAACCGTGCGAGGCCTGTACCTGTCGTGTCACATTGTGCAGAGCCAAATAAATTTGTTTTTACAGTGATTTCCCAAATTTCTGTATCAACCTGAGAATGGGTTGGGATCAAGCGCTGCGAAGTTGCACATCTCGGTGATCACAAGCTTAAGCTTTTGACAAGCTTTTAGAATACCAATTTTAAGGAGATTTTTTGAAAAGTTAAGCTTAGTTTGAACTGGATGGAGCATAACATAAATGGATCGTTAGGAACAGAATAGGCCTAACTTCAAAAATTCAACATTTTCTTCGAAGTGTGTGCCAGATCACTTTGATTTTTGTGATTGATTACAAATTGTACAGATGCATGGTGCACTAGCACGCTGCCTGAGGAGCGATAGCATGAGTTATGTTCAAGGTAGGATGACTTCTATTCAATACGATGACAATATTATCTTGTTTAATTTGTCTGATGGCAGTATTAAACATCAAATCAAGCTGTTTGTTATGTCAAAGGAGCGTGACGTATGGCAGAAGTAGAATTCACTTGACGCCAGTGTTTCTGTATTTCATTGCTTTGACAGGCCATCATGATTGGAGATGATATTGTGAATGATGTAGGAGGTGCCCAGCGGTGCGGGATGAGAGCTCTGCAAGTGCGGACGGGGAAGTACAGGTCAGTGCTCCGCGGGTGCTGTCGTGGGAAGGGGGGAAGTAACCGTAGATAAGGATTTTTGTATTTACCTCTCTGCCAAACAACACTGCGCTCAGATTTCCTTACAACACATGAAGCTCTGAAAGAAAAGGAGTTACAGCTCAGAACCTGGTTACGCGTTCAAAGCGAATGCACAAGGCCAGACTTTTTTCCATGCCTTTTCAGATCCTTTCCTGTTGGTGGCACAAATTTGCCATCAACGTACACTTGCATTTGTTGTGTGAACAAACACCTTGTGCAGCAGTTGGGCTTGGGTGGATGATGACATTTTCATTTGAAAATGCGTTTTGGAAAACACTGCGTGTATGAAAGTGGCAGGAGGGGGAAGACACGCTGTCTTTGATCTTTTAAAGAAATATTTTCAGTTAAATTACTGCTGTAATTTTTTCATCACAATGCATGGAACTGGTGTGTTTCTTCAGTTTTGCTTTTTTTTTTTTTCCTGCTGTGTGAAGGTGTCCACACCCGATATAAGATGTGTCTGAAACTTCTACCAGGGTTAAGTTTCTAGAATTAGACTGTCGACTTGGTGATCTCTGCGGGTCATATCTCACAGCTTTATGAAGGACTCCATATGTCTGCTATTTCCTCCAGACATGTATTCAGCACTGAGATGTCTGGAATGGGAGAGCTGTTTCGCCAGTTCCTGTTTTACCAGGGTGCAGACTTCTGCAGACTCACTCGTCTCTTTCAGATGACCCTTCAAACCTTTCTTCATGCCGGTGTCACCGTGATCCTGTGCTTGCATTGACCCAAGAGCTACTTCCCTGCAGCTGCTGATAGGAGACCTGAGTGCAGTTACAAAAAGGGCACAGTCCAGGGTTGACTAGTGGGAAATGAAGCCAGCACCTGATGCTCAGGCCACGTTAGGTTTGAGGTCAGCTCAAGGTGACTCTCCAAGTGCAGTGCAGACATTGGTGTCTACATGAATGTTTGGATTCCTTAACATTCAAAATCTCCTCTTAACCCACCGTGCCTCTTTGTAGTAGGCGTGGTTCAGCAACACCATCTGCCATTTGATATATATTTTTGCAGTTTTTCTTCATTTTAAGTACTGAGACTGTAAAAGACGGATGCTCTTTTTGAGAGGGATGCAGCAAGTGAGAGTGGTGCTTGCCATGGACTATCTGAAAAGTTATTTTGTTAGTTTTCAAGTCAATCTGTTTCTCAATTTTCCTTTGAGTTTGTGTAAGGTGATAAAATAATACCCAATGCCTTAATTCTAATGGACCAGTAAGTGGTGATTTCTGAGAAAAATGAGACAGATACAAGTGTATTGTATTTTGTATATTTTTTCATCTTTAAGATAGTACATCTCAGAATCAGTTATCTGTATGAATAAAGCTCAAAAAATCCCAAAGATTAAAAAAGTAAGTATATAGTTTGTGCTGTTGGGATTATTTGTGTGTAATCTGTGTAATCCCATTAATTTAACTAAGGTATCTCTGCCCACAGAGGTAACTTTGTGCTGTTGGGATTATTTGTGTGTAATATGTGTAATCCCATTAATTTAATTAAGGTATCTCTGCCCACAGAGGTAATTTAGACCTTTGCTACTGAGCAGATACCTGCGGTGACGTACTTTGCCCATGATAAAATATGGCACAGGCGATGCTGCATCCAGACTGTTCAGGCAGCTGACATAAACTGTGTATACACGCACACACACACAGAGATGTGCGTAATCATATGCTGGAAAAACGTTTTCCCGTGTCAAGTTTGAGTCACCATTTCACAGCTGAAAGGGAGTCATCAGCTGTTCTAGATGGGGGAAAAAAGATTGTTTTCTACTGTTACGCTTCCTGTTTCAGCGTGTGGTTGCTGTTCTCTGAAATTATGGCCATGAAATACGGATGAGTGTCTCTCTAAACTGAGCATGTGGTGCCAGTCCTGTTGTTAGCTGTTGTGAGCAAAATGAAATAGCTCTTGTTTTCCATGAGAGGTCAGAGATGTGTGTATATATATATATATTTTAAAGAATGACTGATGTAGTATAGGTGGAAAATCAAAATACACAGTGACTATTGAGAGAGACAGAAAAAAACAAGTGGGCTCAGGGGCAAAAGAAGTGAAAACTAACAGCAAACGTAATTATTTCAATTATTTCACGGCTGGTTTGAGGGCTGATATACATAAGATTATGCATAGGTCCTCTGTTCACTTGTGTGGTGGTTGTTGACACGGAGCTGTGTGCTGCACCCAAGTACCTCTGGATGGCACCATTAGTACGTTCACATCAAGATCAGCCACAGCTTCGGGACCTCCTCGGAAAGCTGAGGCTGTTGCTGCAAAACGAGAGTAGAGCACAAAGGCGTCAGGATTTTGCTGTAGGCGCTGAGCGTTGGTGCGGTGGGATTTCCACGGGTTTAGTTGACGAGAGTCTTGCAGCTCGGGACATGGGTGATCACCCCAGTTGAGTTTTCTTTGTGTTTCTACAACCATGAGTAGATTTTTCCATTTCCACCACGGCAATGGTGCCTCGCTTCAGCAAAATGGATGCGGAGCTGATTCGAGAATAAGCTGTAAAACAACAGAGGAGCTATCCTGAGGAATTGCTGCAGGTGCTTGTCACAGCATACTGCTGGATGTGTGGAAATGATGTTATTTGCACAAGTTATCCCAGCGAAGGCATTGTGCGTGTTATTCTGTAGGTCTGAGGAGCTCTGTTGTGCCCCTCCGGTCTCACCTAAATTCTGTCCCTGACTGGCAGACGTTGTCACCTCCGGTGCACCAGCATGTGTCGGGGGAGCTCTCCTGCTTTCGGGGGTCAGGGCTGTTTACCTGAACGTCTCTGAGGTCTGCTGCCCACCCAGCACCACCAAGGGCTACGCACCGTAGCATAAGAGACAACACAAGTCAAGGTTTATTGTACTGCTTATTGTATTTCAAAGGGGCTTTGGGCGATCGCATGCGGATCGCAGGCTGCAGAGCAACTGGGTGCATCTTACTTGCTTTAATAAGCTAGAAGGAAAAGTCCCCTTTGGCTCTGAAAGCCTTTTTTGGAAAGAATCAGTTGATCTGAGGCGGAGGTTTCAGCAGCAGGTAGGGGTGGACAGGTGTTCCGTGGGGCAGGCAGTCAGGTGCTGGAAGCTGGATCCCTTCCCTGTGGTGGTGGGTGTGATGGTGGGGATGGGTGCCAGCTCCCCGCCGAGCTGGGCAACGGCCTCTGAATGCAGGCGAGCCGAGGCCCGGAGGAGAGGCCGAAGGGCTGCCTCCCTCCCAGGGCTCTCACCCTCCTGGGCTCTGCAAGGTCTTCTTCAGTGTTGGCTACTCCCAGGGTGAGAGTCAAAGTGTGGGTTAAGCTGCTGCAAAAACATTTGGTTTGACACCACCTTGCATGAAGGCCTGGAAAATTAGCTCCTTTGTCTGGCTTCTTTTGGGTCTTTAAAGTTTAATAAAATTTATGCAGCTGATTTCAATTAATATGACAAGCTTTGCGTGTTCCTCACTCCTGCATTTATACTGATCTTCTCCTCTAAAGCACTTCATTCTCAAGCAGGACTTAAGTGTTGAGCTCTGTCTCAGTAGCCAAACCAGGCACGGCATGGATTAGTCTGTGAAATGTAATAATTCCTAGCTGCAGCATGGAATACAATTTCTGTTGGCACAAGTCAGGGCAGTAATGGAAAGGCGTAGGGACAAGGTGTTGGCTGGAGTTGATCTCAGCCAGCATGGTTCTCCAGCATGGGGTGAGTAGTTCAGCTTGCCGAATATACAGGCTACGAGGATGATGAGGGGACTGGAGCATCTGTCCTGTGGGGAAAGGCTGAGGGAGCTGGGCTTGTTCAGCCTGGAGAAGAGAAGGCTGAGAGGGGAACCCAATAAATGCCTATAAATATCTGCAGGGTGGGTGTCAGGAGGATGGGGCCAGACTCTTTTCAGTGGTGCCCAGCGACAGGACAAGGGGCAACGGGCACAAACTGAAGCAGAGGAAGTTCCGTCTGAACATGAGGAAGAACTTCTTCCCTCTGAGGGTGATGGAGCCCTGGCCCAGGCTGCCCAGGGAGGCTGTGGAGTCTCCTTCTCTGGAGATATTCAAACCCCACCTGGACGCGGTGCTGTGCAGCCTGCTCTGGGTGACCCTGCTTGGGCAGGGGGTTGGACTGGGTGACCCACAGAGGTCCCTTCCAACCCCGACCATGCTGGGATTCTGTGATATAGCCTTTCTTTGGTGTAGAATCCAAATGCAGAGGGCCAGTCTGGTCTGCAGGTGTGTCTACTCTCAGTTGGTCCTTTCTACAGAATGGATCGGGTCATTGCTGCAGACTCTTGTGTGCCAAGATAAGAAGCTGGTGTTCGGTTTTTCAGCGTTGGGAAATGTGATGCTAGTGACGAAGTTTCTCCACGCGCCTCTGTGGAAGCCCTTCATAGCCAACTCCTTTCCCATCTAGGGAAGAACATGTACTTGGCTTCCTGCACAGGGTAGGTACTAATTCCACTTGCAGCTAATTGGCCTTGACATCAAACCAATGATTTCCACAATAACTATTGATTCTGCAATGCTGCATAATATCCTCATTCCTCTTTGTAGTGTGCAAGTTAGAGAAAAATTACTTTGAGGCTTTTCTGCAAAATTGTAAACAGCGTACAGATGTTGTGTGTTGAATTGCAGGTGGTTCTTGGCAGGGCAGAAGCATTACCTACCCTTTTCTCCTTGTTGTTATCTACAGGTCTTGATGTGTAAGTAAAGAACTTCCCATCGCTGGCGAGCGGCAGTAGCCAGAAATACTCCTGGCTGTGGTACCCACTGCCCCGCTCGCCTGCGGGCTCCGAAGTGGTTTCAGAGTCTGGCGGTACGGGTTCAGCCCCTCTCAGTGCCCACGCGAGGTTTGCTTTGGTGAGGGATTTATCTCATGGCCATGGCTGGCACTGAGCTCCCTGAGCTCCCTCATTACGGACATGAAGGCTAGCCCAGGGACGGAGGATAAAAAGATGGAGGCCCGTGAGAGCTGCCGACTCTC